GTATACAAATTGGATCCAATTCTTGTCATTTTGACTTCTATTACACTTAATTCTATTACTCTAAACGTGTATTATACTTTTACAAACCTCATAGTCAATTAGTGGAGAAGAACTAGATGGAAGTGGGATAGTTGTGATGTTTTTGATGTGTGCACCAAGCTCTTCACGGATCTTCAGTCTGCCATCACCACTGAATGACCATACAATAGAGAAAACTAGGTACCTCGGTACATAGCGCTCTAACTGGTCTCTCTGAAGAAAAATAGACATAAAATCAAGTCTTTTAATGTCAGAATTGTGCTTGCATTAAGGAGGATACCATTTTCCAGGAAGCTAAACAAAATGGGATTTTGGAACCTACAGCAGTTTTGCAATTATCAGACAGCAACATTCAACAACTGCTAAGATCAATGTTGAAATAATTTCAGGTCATTGTATAATCAAAAGCATAGAGGCACAGATGAACATTACAAATATTGGGAAAAGTGAAAGAATGAAAGGAGGGATGAATAAGAGGCAGAGAGGAAGAAAATAATATACAAAGGAATAGGAGAATGAGAATGGAGAAAAGAAAGAATGGATGGAATATAACTTACCTCCATTGGGAAATCAGGATGRTGTTGGTTGTACAGCAATACATTCCTGATGCCTTGGTGTAGCATAGAAAACAGGGATTCCAARGCRCTCATRCTTGTGAAGTCCATCACATGTTCCTGGCTYAAGGCATARTCCAGYCACTTCATGACAAGGCCYTTGGATACAAAGTGTGCACGCAGGATTTCAACCACATCTCTCTGGACCTACATGTATGATAATCAAACATTTTAAAGTTTATGTGGTTGAAAATATATATTTTGTCTTTCTATAACTGTTTCAATGATCATTTTATTGCCATCATAGATATGATCATCATCATCATCATCATCATCATGACCATCACCATCATCATCATCACCATCATCACCATCATCTTCACCATCATCATCACCATCATCTTCACCATCATTATCACCATCATCATCATCATCTTCATCTTCATCATCACTAACCTGCATTGATGGAGAGAGTGCCTCTTCTTCTTGAGGTGATCTGATACGCCTGGCCTCTTCTTCAGCTTCTTCAATAGGGATCTTACCCATGCGAGACAAGTAGTTCTCAAAGATCATCTCTGTTGACAACACATCCTCACTAAACCAGACCATACCACATCGACTGACAGTAGCCAGAGTAGCAAAACGAAGGTCTTGTACCTCAAACATGATGCGGACCTGTAACGTAATGTAAGGATTGTTCTCAGTACATAAATAAGGAAAAACCAGAGTTAAACAACTTTGTCTGTTTTGCATGAAAATGTAATAAAATGATAAATAGTAGTGAATGAATTGAATGAATAAACCTTTATTTATTATAAAGTTCTGGGTGGCCCCATGAAATATAAGAAAAAACAAATGAAGTTTTTAAGATTGTTTCTTTTTTGGAGTAAAAGAGGGCACATGTTTATAAAATAAATGAATATTTTTCATGCGCTTAAATATAAAATAGACAAGTTAATAATTAATGAGCATTTTTACTCACATTTGGTGGGATGGCAAGACGTTCACCATTTGGCAGTGTTAGCAACTTGTTGTCATCAAGKACACTGTTCAAGTTTTCAACCCACTCAGGATCAACGTCACCATCGAATACAATCCATTGACGCTTACTCAGCTCATTACGTACATTCTCAATGATCCTAAAACAAATGGTAAACATAGTTATTGGTTTTTAATATTGTATTTAAAAATTGATAATACCCAAATGATACTTTTAAAAGAGCTTAAGATTTAAAACGTAACCATAAGGACACACTGACATAAGCAGAAGCAGAAGAAATCTATTTTGTATGTGTGAACCGGGGAAAATGAAGCAGAGACAAAAGCAGATGAAATGAAAACTTTTTTCATTTTCTTCTGCTTCTGTTTCTGCTTATGTTGAAAGATTATGAGTGTGAATTGGGACATCATGCCATAAGCAGAAAACATGCTTCTGTCAAGCGTGAACAAGTTTCTGCTTCTGTTTCTGCTTATGTCATAGTGTGACCGGCCTTAAACATAACTGAAGGTAAAGTTATTCAAGCCAGCATTTCTTACTTTCTGAGAACATGTGTAAACAATCCATCAGTCCATTCTCTTGTGTTMGGYTCRAGWGTACCATAGAGGAACTCCTTAGAGATGGCCTTAGGATTGAGGACATGTGATACACCTTCTACTCCCTCTACTCTRTCCAAGGCCTTCAACAAGACTCTCCATGCTGTTGATTTACCACTACCACTTGGTCCAACCATCATTAGTCCATGGTGGATTTGACAGATTTGGTACAATTGCAGTACCTACAAAAACATATGGAGAAATGAATAGATGGATGGCTGAACAAATAGAAAAATGCAGGCAGAGCACTGGAGCACAAGGAATGGTAAAATAACTTTTTTTTACATTACTAAATGAAGGAATAGAAGAATGAAGGCAGAGCACTGGAGCACAAAGAATAGTAAAATCACTTCTTTTTGTACATTACTGTGTACAGTGTCGTAGCAGCGCAATACATTAGAGTACAACAAAGTACAACAAGGAAAACT